CTGCTGAGCATTAAGTATCGCTGCCAGAAAAAGCTTACAAATGGACACATCAGACATAAGGAGTGGCTTCCTAACCTTGCTCTGGTGTGCAAAGAGAACAGATTGTGGAGCCTTATCTTGGGCTGTCTGGGGTAGATGGCTACATTTTGCCAGGAGAGTTTTTAACAGTAGTGTGCATTGTGCCATAGGAGGTGGTCTTTTAGGGTCTGCTTATCCTTCAGTTGTTTTGCTCTGGTTAACGTAGTTGTAACATTCTTCTTCTGTTAGCGAGCTCGGCTAACCCACCTTTTACTACAGAACAGGCTTACAAAGCAAGTCTCTGATTTTTCTTTATGAGGACTGCTAGAAGTGCTAACAATAGTTCGCGTATCTGTATTGGTTGGTTATGAATCAAGAGACTGACTCCATTCTTTCCTATGCACAGGATAAGTGTCTTCTTTATAAAAATATACACAGAAAATTACAGTGTACCAGCATGCGTCAATGAATGGTGAGGTAAGCTAGGTGTCAGTATGTTAAATTGAACACTAGCTACTTCTTACAGTGAATAGTTTAATGAAATATGGAATGGTACACATTTTTACTATTAACTAGTAACTTAACTATTACTTATCAAGCCTTATTGTTTTGGAGTGGACTGGTTCCAGGAAGGTTTGGAAATCTCAAGGGATAACGTTTTGCTTGTGGTCTTGCACAGGTGTCATAGAGCTGGATTTCTTTGAAGGAGTTATTTATTTTCTGGGAAGAACTTTCAACAACTGCTTGCTGTGTCCATCAGTCACTGGACTCTGTTTGAAACTATCCAAGCACACGCCTGCTTTCTCATCTCTCAAAATATCAAAACTCACTGAATTCCATAATAAATAATAAAAGGAAGTCTTTTATGTGTGCATCACAAAGAGCTCATTAATTGACCTCCAGTAACTGGCCTCCCAGTAATAACTAACTTTGCTAATGAAATTAGAAACCTCCTGATCATGGCATATAATGCAGAAACCATCAAAACTCTGACTCAAAGAAGAATAAGCAGATACATACATAAACACACGATAAGGAAGAGTACAAAGCAAGACAGCAAATTTGAAGCATGTAAAAGGAAATCCTAAACAAAGTAATTTGATACACCTCTATAATGGCACTCAAAAACTGGCACTGAAAAGCAAGCATAACAAATGTCATAGCAAGTACTAACTGTAAGCCAGTATCTTTAACACTATCTTTTTTTTTTTTTCCACAGTGCACTAAAGACCTAAGCTACCTAAAGCACTCTGCAGGATGAAGAACAGAAACAAGATTTCTTGGCACAGTAAGATAAGCTAAACCTTTGCTGCCCATATCTTCCTCCGCAAAAAAAACGTGAATAAGTTGTATACATTGACAGAACCTCACTATTTCTCACTACTGCCTAAAAGGCCTGCTGCAGATTACTTACATTTCTGAACAGGTGAATAAATGAACTAGCATTACCAAAACAAAGGACAATGCATCACATAAGGTTCCATGTTCATTCTTTCTAAACAAGTTTTCATATTTAGCAGTGCAGTTAATACAACACATTATATTTTCTGCCAGTACGGAAGTCTTAACCAGAGGATACCTTGTGCAGGAACATCTATTAAATCTTTGCTGAAAAGCGGGGCCAGATTTTATGTGAGAAATAACCTGTGCAGATTAGCTAAATGAGACTTTGCAAGATAGTACTGCATACAAAATGCCATATTCTCAGCCAGTCTGCAAAAGGACTGCTTTTTATTTGTTCTACCTTCAACTGCAGGCACAAAATTATAGGCTTAAGGATCTGTAGAAAAAGTTGCATCTTCAAGAATAGATTTACGGGGTAGGAATTTTCAATTGACCCTGACAATCTGGCCAATAACACAAGGAGTGACCGACAGAATATCACTCTTGCTGACAACCTTAAATAATCCATTCAGGAATTCTGAGGTCAACCCTAATTTACGGAGTTTTTTCACAGCACACTCTCAACTCTTTCAAGATTTCTTTATGTCACTGTCTCTCAAGCTGACAGATAACCTGTCTGTCCTTGGAAGATTCAAAGCAAGCCAAAGATAAACAAAGAAAGGATTGTCTTTTCCTTGCTTGTTTAATCATTTTTACTTAAGACTCAGCAAAGATTGAACCCTTCATATTAAAAGAACATTAAGTATATGCTTTTCTCCTATGATTTCTGTCATATGTAGAACTGAATGGCAAAATGAGACTGCTCTCACCAACAGACATGTTTATAATATAAATAATTCCCTCATAACCTTCTTGTAAAAAGATCTCTGTGGAAGGGCTGAAAAGTTTTCCATAGTAAGATGGAGAGAAAAAAAGCTGAACACTTGTCAAATATTAAATCTGGAGTATTCAAATAAAAAAATACTTGTTTAAAAATGTTTTTTATATCTCTCTCTCTCTCAACTGAATGGGGCTTCAGGTATGTAAACTGAGAACACTGGATTCCCTGCTGGTGTAAATTGTCACAGCTGAATCGATCATGGCATCCACGATAATTTTCATCACCTGAGGATCCGTTTGACAGCATTCACTTTGCTCTATGCAAACCCAAGACTTCTTTCATATATTAGCAAGGGTTGTTTCCTTTGTATTTGAAACACAAGAAGCATGTGGTTAGCATTGCATTACAGTTGCTTAACTCAGAAAATGGAAAGAGAAAATATCTCCTCCCGTTTCTATTTAAGCTTAATGGGAATCATAAGAATCATCGTTGATGGCATGGGGCAGCCTTTGCAAAAGGCTCTCAGACAAAGTTACAAAGGCACAATCTCTGTGGAATATTTGCAGACATTTCTGGTAGATGTTGCTTTCTCTCTCTCTCAAGGTCTACGTGGTACACACACACTGGGACTTACCAGCTTGTAGCCAAATTTGCTCAAGAGTTGTCCATAGTTGCATAGGTCCTTGCTTCATGGCAGTACTCTGCATAGTTACTTCAGACATGGCCTGCTCCAGTCTGGAAGCTGCAATAGAAGAGGCTCGCTGGGAGCCTTAAAAAGAGCCAAAAAACCCAATGAATTCATAATCCATCATTTTCTCTTGGCCAAGTAAAGACAAAGTCCGGTTTCCCACTTTACAATATCAACTTTATGCCACTGTACCTTCACTTAACTCTGAGGTAACTGAGTGCTGAATCAGACTCTGTATCTCTGGGCTTTTTCAAAAATATTTTTATTGGGAAGACTTCTAGATTAATTCACAGGCTGCTACAGTTCAAATGGATTAGGAGGCTGACACTGTTTTCAAAAAAGTCTGCTCAGCATCCATCCAATCCTAGCAACCCTATTTGGCTGATCTGGAAATCAGAATTTTCATCCCAAATGTATGCTAACAAGATTTGCCAGTCATCTGACAGATAAATAAACTGTAAAACAGCTACAAAACATGACCCATTAATTTGGTTAGTACAATTCATGGCATGAAAATTTCAATTGGCAGCAGTATCATGCTACTGGTTTAGAGGATGACTTGGTTATTCATTTAACCTTAGCACGCCAAGTACAAAACTTGAACTACATTAACTTGGTGGTGGCCAGATATGGTAACATGTACATAACTATAATGGATTTAACATTCCCAACTCTGAGAATATAATCTCCTGTCAAACACTGTTTTTTAAGGACAGGCACACAGAGAGCTCTCATTGGCTTCCAAAGCACGGTAGGAGCAGAATCAAGCCACCAACCTGGTGCACATGGGTACTGGGGAGTAACAGGATGCACTAACCAAAGTAAAGGTTATGAAGTAAGTGGAAGGAAAGAGAAATGATCCAAAGCCAAAGTTTGGTTTTAATCTTCTTAGGTTACGGCTAATAAATAAATGTAGAAGACAAAAATGAGTTAAGGAGGATGATCACTCTCTAAAGAGCAGCTGCAACAGAAGCCATAGCCCTGACTGGCATCGTTCTTTAATGTGTTGACCCAGGAGATCACCAGATCCTAAAAGTTAATCTTGTCTCTCTCTGTTGGAACCGCCTAGGCTTTGTGGTGGTTACTTAAGAGTTATCTACCAGTTTAAGGTTAGAAAGGCTCCAAGCAACAGAGGGGACAACTACCTAAGGAGCCTATGGGAGGGCATCATACACTGCTATCTTTAAAAGGAAGGAGGAGTGCCCTCCACACAATGGCTAACCACAACCCTCTTCGGGGCTGTGCAATACCAGCAAGTGAATCAGCCTGACACCCCGCCTTACCTAGTGCTGACATGAGCGCCCACTTGGAATCCCTGCCTTAGTGCTGTGTGGATATTCCAGGATGGGAGGGGTGTAAGATGTCTCTACATCCCTTATACAATAATTTGTTCGCAAATATCTAGGTGGTTTAATAAAAGATATCACCTCTTCCACGAGTTTTGATTCCTTCTACACCCCTTTGCTTTCTAAGGCACCTGGTGAAGCACAGGCCAGAATTTGGCCATAGCTTTTACATAACCTGCCAGTGAGATAATCTGAATATCTGGAGACAGCTGAAAGGCTTGAGTAGTTATAGGGCATATTCTCCCATTATTTCACTGCTAACAAATGTCATTCATTTTAAGCAGCCAAACTTCAAAACAGCTTTATAATGCTCTTGGTGCATGCACCTCCCATGACTCACTTTGAAAATGTAAATGTTCTCTTCCTAGATGCATGCTTTAAGTTCCTACATATTTTTCAAAGACATTCCTTGTCTAATGTTCCAAGAGATGACAATGCAGTAAAGCAGCAATTACAGCTTTAACTCTACAGTAAAAGCTGTTCAGCTTTGTTCAGAGAATTTATTTTATTAAACAGTGTCTTTTAACACATCAGTTTTTGGCCGTGGTTTACTTTGCAGAAGTCCTTGCCTCCCCTATTTAGCAGGCACAAGATTCCTCTGAAATGTGCCTTAAGGAAGTTTTAGTCCATTTTTTTTAAGTTAGTAAAAATTAAATAGTTTTTAAGAGGCACTCTGCTCAGTGATCCAGAGGGGGCCCGGGAGAATTTCCTCAGAAAAGAAGTTTACATTGCTGCACATGTGACCCAAGAACATTTTAGGCTGAGAAAATTCCTCCTAAATCCTAAAGAAAGAGTACATATTATCTTTCCTTTTTTGGCTCTGTACTCTATTCAGGTTATTTTAGGGCCCATCCTCACATTATAACAATGTTTTGAAAACAAAATTCAAGTCTAGTTATTTTCTAAGACTCTCTCTTTAGAATTTTCTTGGAGCCATGTTATTTGAAGCCATAGGTACCAGTACCATGACACATGGAACTGCTCTGATTTTATGTAGCTGGACAGGCAAGTGAGTCTCATTCAAATCCCAGAGGCTAGCGAAACCCTAGTCTCCCTCCGAGACAAGCCAGGTACTGCCATAGTGCAATTTTCTGTGCTCTGAAGAACTGCAAGCTGAGACACATGCTGGTAAAGCATCTATGCTGGTAAAGCATCCATCAAAGCAGACTTTGCACAAAGTGTTACGAAGCGGACTCCAAGAAACAGAAGTTATCTTTCACTCTACCCCTGCTACTTATTAATTGGATAGTTTCAAATAACATAAAAGTATATGGCTCTTCGGCTTGATTCTGCCACCCGCTGAGGTCTTCAATGTACCTTGCACCTAGAGGGCGCTGAAGTTGCTCAGGACCTTAAAGCCCAAGGCTCTTTGTATCTAATATGCTGTTGGCATTTGATTTCTTTTCCACTTACTTTTGTTCTCTCTTCCACAAAAACAAATTTAACCAAGTTAGTGCATCGTAGAAGCCAAAGATCCCAGAGACCTTTCCTTTGCACGTCTAGGAAATGGTCTCCAAGTAGAGGAAATATCCACCCATTAAGCTGATATTGCCTGGACCTTAGCCAGAAGTCTGTGGAAATGCAAACTGTCCTCTTCAAAAGAAATGTAAAGACTGAAGTTAACACGTCCAAAAATTATACCACAGAACTTTAATTCTGTGCCTCCAAATATATGCAAATGCTGGGATAAGACACAATCACACCTATTAGTTATTCAGTATAGATTGTCTCTCTTTTATAACAGCTTCATTAAAGCATAAACTAAACCACATTTTGCAGTAACCTTTCCACAGATTTGGAGGAAGTATCATAAAAATAACAAGACTCTTTTCACCATGATGAGCTCATGCCAGTCTCATACTTGTATCTAAATTGGTTGTGAAATATGTTTTTAAGACCAGAACCAAGTTTAATATTTTTGTGTCCGTGAAAATCCCCCCTCGGTTGGTACCACAGACTGGTATTAGAGTGGAAAGGAACTTCAATATACTATCTACCAGCAACACAGAGCCCTATTCTAAAGCAATTTGGCCAAGAGAATTATAAGATAAGCTCAAATCAGAAAAAACACACATAAAACAGCAAGACTGATATCAGTGAATTGAGTCGAGAGCTCTGATTTACACAGGAAAAGCTAAAGAAAACAAAGGGAAGTTAATCTTCCTAACAGCAAAACTAAGATTCCAGCCTAGAATAATCCTATTGAAAAATAGGATGGTGTCAAACATCATCTGAATAATCCTCCCTGCAGTGAAGATGCCAGAGATTACAAAATGTCTGAACATTACAGCTCTATGGCAGAGTACCTTCGGGGGACTTTTGGGAGGAAACCAGAGCCAGCTCCATTACTATCTGGAATCAAAACTCCTTTCTCAAAGCTCTCAGCAACTGAGGAGGTAGGACTGAGAGCAGGACCTGCCAAGGTCATCTTCCACCACACCTAAAGGGACCTAACCCAGGGCACTGAGCCCAGTTGCCTCCCTTCCCTTCTCCACACAGCAACCCCAAGGAGCTTGCAAAGGAGAAGACCTTGGAAAGCTCTAGACCAGTGATATGCAACCTCTAGCCCACTGAGTTGTGTCATCTGGCCCATATACTTCTCACAAGTCTGGAAATTTGGCAGGGGGGGAGGGGTGGTAGCATTTATTGTTTCCAGAACTGCAGCATTAACAGTGCCACCACTCCCCTGAAAAATCTTGAAGGTTGAGGGTTGGCTAAACTGAGTTCTTGATCTTGAACACTGAGGGTTGCCAAATTTCTGGACTCTTGGGGAGTGCCACAGGCTAGATGACACCATCATGTGTACCAGCACACAGGGTCACGCTGCATCTAGGGTTCAATACTGCTTTGGCATGCCTGATGGCACCTGCTGACTGACCCTCCACAGTGAGCCCATGCTGGATCCAGCCTGTGGATTGACCCCACCTGCAGGATCTGATCTATGGGGCTAAGGTTGAGCCCCACTACTCTAGACCTTTGGAACTGCTCTGCCAAAGTAGCTGGCACCCCCTGCATCTAGGGCATATGGAGAAAATTAGGTCCTTTTAACATCAATCCCATCCCTACTATCATAATGGGAACAAGAGCAGCCTCCAGGCACCATTAGTTGTGAAATTTGGACTTCGGAGGGAGTAGAGGAACAGACTAGTTGGCTACTGCCATACCAGATGCAGTGCAAGTCATTACATACGTGTAAAATGCTGTCTTAAAACTCACTTTGCCCTTGAGCCTTATGCCATTTTGCACAGGGTCAGAGTCTTATGTCCAAGTAGTAAAAGTGTGAAGGCTGCTAAATTATACTGGCTGCTAAAGGTTCCAAGAAGCTTCCACCATCTCTTGTGATGGTGTGGCTTAGCCATCCCTCTGTCCTTGATAATCTGGGATTTCTAGGTGGAAAACTGAGCTGGATCCAGAACATTCCTAAATCCCAGCTCCTTCCATGTAGTGGTAAGCAGCAGTTACAGCTGAGAGTCCAGGGGGTAAAGTCAGGCAAGGTTTTTGGGTCAAAAACCAAGGCATGGGAAATTTAAACATTTCAGCAAAAAAGTGACTTGTCTAAAGCCATATGCCAAGTCAGTGGCAGAGCTAGAAATAGAACCTGGGGTCCAAACTGTATTTTGCCTCTAAGATACATAATCATGATCCTATTTCACCCTGTTCCAGTCCCTAAAAAACTATTCATGTGTCAACTTCTGTAACTTGTTTTTATGTTAGCCTTAAGACTAACTCACACATAGCAGTGAGGAGGAGGGTCTACCCACCCTTATGCTGAAGCTTTTCAGATTTTGGGCCTTTCTCCCCATCTTCTGAACTCTACTGCCTTACAGTAAAAAGTCCATTCTTGAAAAGGATGCACAAATGACAGAACATTCAACCCCCTTGTTACTCATTTGGCGTAGAAACCATTTCTATTACATTACTGCTGAATTTGACCTAATACATCCTGTAAGACAAATATGAACTAGAAAATACTGATCCACACAAACAATGGAATTTATTATAGCAGGGGATATTGCAAGGATATGGAAAAAAACAGTTTAAGAGAGGCATATAGAGACGGGCACAGAATTGATAAGATTATAACTTCAAAAAAATATACTAAGAACTCAATGCTGCAAACATGAGCAGTCCCAATGAACTCAGCAAATTAAAGGTTCATGTGCCCAACTTTGCCACATTGTCTTTCCAGAATCATGGTGGAGAGGTGTGTATTAAAGATAGCATTTGGATAATTGGGGATTGGACATGACGACTGAAGGTAGGTAGCTATTTTTCTCCAAAAGTATCTTCCCCTCCAAATGAGAACACAGTTTAGCCAACCCTCAATGTTCAAGATCACGAGAACCTAAAATAATAAGATTTCTAAACATACACATACATACACACACACTCCCGCCTCCCCCCTTGGATTTTTTTTTGGGGGTGCAATTTTTGAACTTTCAGAGTCCAGGTTCCAGCCCTCTACAACCATGAAAAAAAACTTACCTTAAGAAAAGAAAAAAAAAAAAAAAAGGGGAGATTTTCATATAGTCAGCTGACTGTGGTAGCTTAAGCTTTAAGAGAAATACCAAATATCCCAAGCTCCATGATTATATCATAGGTCAGCAACACAAATTTCCATTTTCCCTCCTTCCACAGTTAACTTTTATGTTTCTGGTATTTTATATCCTATTATGTTGTAAACTTAGTGTATAATAAAGTAAATGTATAATAAAGCAATATTTATTGTATAATAAATATTTGCTTATTTTTTCCCTAAATGCTTGGGTTTGAATTTCCCCTTTGTGGGAAAAGATGCACAATGGATTCAAAACTCTGTGAGGTTCCCTTTGCAGTGCTTCCTGTAAATGTCTCTCTCCCCATCTCTCATTTAGTTAGTCTATAAATGGTGGAGCTACCCTGCCTTCTGACCAACTTCAAACTAGCAGGGCTAACAATCCCTCTCTGTCAATTCACCCCATCAACAGCAGAAGCTGGACCATATCACCACATAACATTGGCCATTGTGATCACCAACCACTAAATTTGTATGCCCTGTCCTAGATTGTGGGGAGTAGCAGCAGTTCCCACTGAAGTTACTCAACAGCCTCAAGGCCTAACTGTCATTATAAATTAACTCTTACCCAGCCACATTTTCTATTGCTGTTAACAGTTGTGGCGTGAAAACAATCCCAAAAATGTATCTATTGGAAAAAGATACAGAGAAACTAGAAAATTATTTTCCATAAACTGTTGGTTCTAAATGTTCATTACCTCCCCAGCCCTAGGAAATAGAATTTCTCCTATACATTTTCCAGTGGTTTGCATTACAATATGCAAAATATGTAACAATATGCTATGTGTATGGGGCAGGAACTTCAGGATCTTTATATAACTTCCCCCTTTAGAAATTTCAGGGTGTCTATATATGTGGCCGGGGGGGTGGGCTGCTTTAATTAGAGCAGCTCCGAGATCTGCTTGAGTCTGCTCTGACGAACTATAATTACAGCACATTGGAGCAGCCTGTGCTCATGTATAGGCACCTGCAGAGATTAAATGCATGTATAGGTGACCTCATGGGGCTCATAGCCCCTGCTTGTTACCCAAGGAATGTTTGTGAAGTTTATTAGAATGACTGGTTTTCATACACTCATGTTCAATGAACTCTATGTTGGGCATAATGAAAAATCAAATGTCTGAGTGTTGTATTTAGAACATCTTGAAAGTCTCAAAGTGTCACTTGCAGGTACTTTTTGTAAAACATCACCACTATCAACAGTAATAATGATAAATCTTATTGATAATCTCAAAGAATTTTACAAAAGAAAGGGAAAAACCTGTAACAACTGTTACAGAGGAGCAAATTGTATGAAATGACTTGTCTAGAATTACATAAAAGGTCCAGTGATGTGATCACTAATAGCTGCCATCTTTTCTCCTCACGAAACTGTGTTTTTGGGAGAACAGAAATTTTATTTTCCTCACCAGAGTCAGTATCATGAGCATCAGGGAGAGTGAGATGTATCCCATTATGTTTTTTGCTCACTGGCACTTCTGTCACACTGCTCTCCTTCTCAGAACCACTGTAAGGAAAAAAAACATGTTAGATTATCACTTGCAGATTAGAGAAAGCAATAAATTCTCAAAGTGCACAACAATCCCATTAAATTCAAACCTTTTGAGTGATTGTTCAAATGCATTGGGAGGAAAAGTTCTGTTGTTTTTGCAAAGTTAAGTCTTAAAATTGGTAGCTTTGAAACAAGGAAGTTGTTTTGCCTCCCTGCCTGCCATCTGACACCTCCAGGGAAGGAATTCTACCTGATCAACACATCAAAGAGCTACTCAACACAGCTCAAAGACACTCATGGACCCAGAGGGACAGACTTCCATCTTCAACTCCCTCTGTGCAAAAATGAAGTTTATTTCCTACCTATGGGGACTTTTTACCATCTTGTACCAGCTACACTTTTCCCAGAGCCTAACGAATGGACTTTGATCCCGAAAGCTTGCATAAAAGGACAATTTTCTTGCCATTATCCAGTTGGTCTAATAAAAAGTATCATTTTGGAACCAAGAGTTCTAGCTTGCTGTATAGCTTTGAAACATCATTTAACACTTTGGGAATGAGCTCTACGCAGGCAGGAGGATGCATAAACTGGTCTAACACTTCTTTAACATTACTAATTTATTTGATGAGGTTTTAGTCCCACTGGGAGGGGAAAGGAGGGGAAGGTCAGCATACAGAAAGCCAGGACCAGAGGATCTACTGTCGCAAAGTTAAAACAGACCACCCAGTGCCCCCGATAGGGAACATGGAGATCATCTTTTCTGCAATTATTTGGACTTGTTGCTAGCATGAGGATCTGGTTCAGAGCAAATGTTGTGACTGTTCCCTTAGAATACACCAATTAGCACCAATGTAGTAGGTGATAATTGCTTGATTTCAAGGGGATTAACACCTCCCCTTCCACCTATGTACTGCCTGAACAGAGGAAGAAGCTAAAAGCTCTTTCAAAAAAGTATTATATAAGGAGGATTCTTCAGCCTCTTGTTTTGTTTTGTTTTTCACAGACACTTGCCCTCAGCTAGGGCCTTCCAGAGAGACAGAAAACAGGGCTAGATCCACAAAAAGACTTTGGTGCTTATGTTCCACGTGTGCATTAGTCACAGCTTGCGGAAGCATCACAACTGCAGGGGGATGTAGGATTCTTATTTCAGAGGAAATATAATACAGGTTTCCGTCACTTTATGCAGGTTCGCTCTTATGCGATGACCCTTTTTACACCCAAAATTCGTTATATGCGAGGTAAGTCCATAAGGGAAGGGGCAGGGGGAGGGGCACAGCGCAGCCCAGTGGTTGCAGGCAGGTGGCGTCTGCCACTCCTGGGGCATCTGCAGCAGGGAGCAAAGTGGAGGGTACTGTAAGTAGGTGTGGGACGGGAGGGTGTGGCTCTTGCTGCTATGCATACCCCGGGACGGCCATGCCTGGGGGGCTGCACTGGGCTCTTCCCAGGGGGCATGTCCTCTCAGATCTGCGTGCTTCCCCCAGCCAGGCTCAGTTCCTCAGTGCTGGGTCACAGGTGGCAGGAGCAGTGTCCTGTGATCTGGCAGGCAGATCGGGTATCCACCCGCACCCCTGGGAGGGCTGTGGGGGCTCTGCCGGACTTCTCCCAGGGGTGCGGGCCCCCAATCTGCCTGCCGGATCACAGGACACTGCTCCTGCTCCCCAGCTCCTGCTTGTCAGCAGCCTGAGGTGCAGTTTCCTAGAAACCCCTGCACCCATCTCCTTGAAATTTGGCAGGCTTCATGCCCTCCCCTCAGAAGGGGCTACCATCCTTGAAAATTTCATCAGAATCAGGCAAGAAATGACAAAGTTACAGGCTGTTTCATGTTTCCCCATTATAGCCTATGGGTGAAATGTTGAAACAGCATCAAAACAGCGAAACCATTTCGACAAAACGGAACAGAACAATGCTTTCAAAATGAAACAAAACTCTAAACGAAACACTGTTCCGTCAAAACAGATGTTGAAGTAGAATGCCGCTGTTTCGCACAGCCCTAGTAAAAGGGTTCAGGCTTGTAGAGATTAATTCTAGCAGATGACTTCTTGGTGCATGACATGAAATAATCAAAATTATTTCTAGTTTATTTTCACTGCTGCTTAGCCAAACCAACAAACATTTTCTAAGAATCCCTCAAGGAAGATGCATGTATCGCCTGATGTAATTATGTGCATACAGCATTGATTTTTATGAAGCATATGGAAATACAGAGGAAATACAGTCTTTTAGCAATTGCTAACATGATTTTGTTTTCAAGTACACTGCCCAACCCTAAGGCCCCTGGCACACATTCACTGAATGGTGCAACGGGATTTATCCCACATCCCAACAACTGTACCTCCTGTCATGCCACATGTGCGTGGCTGGGCACTCAAATCAGGTCCAGTGGTCTGGGCCAGAGCCAACAATCAGCTGATTGTCAAAATCCCATGCCTGGCAGCTCTGGATGGGCTGCCATACATGGGGGAATTAGAGGCTCCCCAGGTTGGGGTTGAGGGGAGCTGAAGGGCTTCTCTGGCTGGGGAATTTAAATCTTGCCAGTAATCTCCTATCCCCTGCACCCTGGCCAGAACTGCCAGGCACAGGCTTTCAAGTCCCCAGTAGGAAAACTGCCTCAGTACTCTCTTTAAAGCTCCTTGGGCACAGGGAACCAGAGACTGGCTAGCTTCTCCCTACTGTCTGGGTCCAAGGTCCAGGAATTTTTAAGAAGCACAGCTTCAGTCCAACTACAAGTGCACTCTTTAAAGCTCCTGAGGTGCTGGGACCCATGGTGTGGGGCACAGGCACCTAAGGAGCTGGGAACTCCCAGATGCTGTTTTCATAGGTGCTTGGAAACTTAAAAAGGTGGGTATACAGTTCAGGCTCCCAGAGGCGCACTTGTTTTTAACAGGTCTGGGGCACAGTGAGCCTGAGATCAGAGATACACTCCCCGATGCTGGGCCTATGGTGTCCTTCACTGGCTTCCTCAATCTGCCTCCGAGACTGGGTGGAAGTGCTAGGTCCAGGACCTGGTGCTGCCCCCAGACCACTGATTGGGTGGCAAGGGAGGACTGTCCCCCAGACCCTGGGGCTGCCCCATGCAGATCTCTACACTCAGCTGAGACTCAGGACCTGTCATGGGTCAGCTCCAATGTGTCACATGTTCAATTTAAGCTGCAATACACATGAGCCACAATGTTACACAATATCTTTGTGGCATGTGTGCTGTTATCATGCAACCAACTGGCTTTAACATGTGGTCAGGTTACCATTGATGGCGCAATTAAACTTTAATCTCATCCTACAGCAATGTGTGCCAAGGCCCTACCATTCTGAATGCTATATCTGCATATATCTATGCCTACAATCTAAATGCTATATCTGCATAAGCCTGTAGTGATATAAATGAGTTAACTCACACTAACTTTGGCACCGGAGGAAGTAGAGTTAAAAGGTGGTATGGTTTTTTTGCTTCATTTGTATTGCTAGTGAATCACACAACCCAACAGTTGAATTATAAGATACAATGAGAACTAGAGGTATACAACCTTTTTATCTGTCTGTACTCTACGGTGAACTGAGTAAGGAGCTGCTAGGTGGTCAACTTTTTGGAAAAAAAATCAGCTCACGGTTAGACACCTAAGTACATATTTAGATATCTATGTTTCAGCACTTGTTTTTAGAAACCTTGTCAAAGAAGTGTGTGCATGCATTTTTTACTTCAAACTCTTCCTTTTTGGATGGCTGGAATTATATTCAGTGCTTTTGTTTTTCTATATATTAATAAAATAAAACAAAACTGTGCTATCTATCCTATTTTTGCAGAGCAACTCCAATATCTTTAAGACATCACCATTTCAAAAATCAAATGGGTCAAGGCTGCAGGGAAAACCTACCTGTGTTGTGAAACATTATATACCATCTGCCATGTGTGCAGCATGTGTCTACAAGTCACCAGAGCCTCTTCAGGTCCTTTATATGCCAACTGCAGCTTTACTTTGGTGAAGAGTAAGCTAAAAAACAAACAACAACACAAATAAACCACATAGACTTTATCAAGGTCTGGTACATGTGGTACAGAGCTCCACTGTCACTGACTGGGTCTCAACAGACAGCATGTTCACCTGCTTCTTACTTCTGGCTGGAGGGAAAAAAATAGCTTAACTGGAATTAAAGCATCGTTTCTTTAGTTCAATCTTGATATCACACAGGAAATGAGAGAGTCGACAAATAGTCCTCAACCACAGGCAAACTGGCATGATAAGACTAGCAAAACATTATTAAAAACATCATGTTACAAAACTAGTAAATGTTATAAACACATGCCATATCTGGCTTTATTTTAAGCTGCTTAAAAAACAAACAAGCCAACTAACCCAGAAAGAATTACCATGACGCACAGACTGCCAACACCAATGGCCTCTCTAGTTTGGTGTGACTATTGCACGCGCTATACAGCATGCATTTCAGAGAAAGGCAAAGCACAAGGATGTAAAATAACCTACGATACACCTAGCCCATTATGAAATAATACCTGCAAGAGGGAAACCCTTCTTCCTTACCTTAGCTGGTAATCTTGTGTTCTATGCAAAAAGACTGATAGCCCTTTTATATTTTTGTCTTAGCTAGTGTAAAAGCATGTACTATTCTTATTCTTTCACAAACTGTTGAAATGCAGTGTAATTAGCTCAAAGGGAACTTATAGGAGATATTTAATAGTGACAGCATCTACCAGCTGCTGCTGGAATGGAATTTTGCACTTTCTTCCATATACCATTCTTTGATTTTTGCAGATATACTGAATAAAGTTCCTTGTTTTCTCAATGAAATCTACCCTTAAGTCACGGAAGAAATACTTTTTAATTAACTCAGTATGACAGCTACGTCATGCAAAAATCACACACATATACATAGTAAGACAATAAGATAAAATATGTTTTATCATATTTTGATATATACCCCGGCTGTGCGACCCCCAGCACAGCCGGGGTAAGCGGGGCCCGTGGAGAGAGGGGGCTAATCCCTTAGTGTGTGTGTGGGAGGAGGCGGCTGAGTGGAGCCGGGCCGGGTCAAGCCCCGCCCAGGCCCCTACTTCGCCCAGCCCCGCAGGGAGCCACGCGAACAGGCTGCGCAAACAGGCACGCTTCTCTGCCGGCGTGTGAGTTAGCGCGGAGTTCGCACGGGAGGGCCCCGGACCCTGCCTGCGCACCCCCCAGGGTAGACAGCCCCAGCCGTAGCCAGCCTACCAGAGGCATGACA